GTACAAACAATGTTGAAATAACAGACAACAATCTCCTCAACGGTACATACGCAAGAAACAAAACTCGCGTTCTGACACACCGCGCTGAACAAGCGACGCTGCCTCTGAAACTAGTGAACAACTTTAGCGGCGGAAACGTCAGAGCATACATCTCAGGGCTGGACTCTGACGGCACAGTCGTGTTCATCGGCGCGAGTGGAAATCTTGTGTATCCGAAATCAGGAGGTTCGAAAGTCCCTGTTGAGATTAAGGATAACATCGCTATTCCTCTCCCGGCACAGGGTCAGACTCTAGAGTTTACGGTTCCTATCTCCATGAGCTCTGGGCGTGTTTATTTCGCGAATGAAGATCTTCACTTTTTTGTCGTTGACATTGGAACTGGCGATGGTTTAGTCCAGCCTTCTGTTACGAACCTTCAAGACCCAAGTGCTGGTGTGGACTGGGGTTTTGTGGAATTCACCTACACCAACGGCGTTCTGTACGCCAACATCAGTTATGTCGACTTTGTCGGTATTCCTCTCGGCATGGGTCTTTCTCTTAAGGATGGAAGTACTCAGTCATGTGCTGGACTCGAGTCTGGTGCTGTGAGTAAGATCTGCGATGATCTTGTTAAGCAGAAAGATAAGGATGGTAGAGCGTGGACGTTTATGTGCATTGCGAATGCGCAGGGTAAACCAGTCCGTGTGCTGTCGCCGGGGAATCAGTATGATCTTGAACCGATTACTTTTGGGGATTACTGGGATACTTATGTCAATGATGTGTGGAGTAAATACTCATCGCAAGACCTCACTATCAACACTCAATCTGAAGCAGGCAACGTCAAGTGTCGCGTCACAGGGGATCAACTCACCTGCGACGGCGATAACAGAGGATACGGCAAACCCAACACCAAAGACATCTGGGGCTGCAACAGCGGTCCTTTCACAGTGATAGAAGGCGACAATGCAGTGCACGCAGCGGTTGTTCCTCGTCTCTGCGCTGCGTTTGTTCGAACTACACTCCTTGTTGACGGAGGCGATACACAGCCCAAGTTGGGACAGGAATCGTACTACAAGAATGACCCGACGAACCATTATAGTCGGATCGTACATTCTTATGAGGTCGATGGTAAGGGCTATGCGTTCCCGTATGATGATGTCAATCCGGATGGGAATGAGAATGCTTCGGGTGTTGTTTCGGGCGTGCCGGAGACTTTGACGATTTTTGTTGGTGGACCTTCTGCATAGGGGTGCATGTACATTTTTACTTCTTGTAAGAGTATGTTATTGACGCAAAACCATTTGTATGTGCCCGATTTGTCTTCTAATGTCTGTTGTGTGTCCGTTTGACTATGGCAAGTTTGCTGTGCATATCGCAATCCTTGAAGTTGCCTGGATCGAGGTGTATCATCAACAGAGCTTCACCTATCATTACCTGAACAGATCTCACAGTGGCGGGTAGAAAGTAAAGTCCTAAAGAACATGAAACGTGCATGAAGAGCTTACTTGCTATATTATACTGTGCAACATACAAATTCGAGCATACCATCCGTTCAAGTCACAAGAACATCACAACTGATCATCATCGCTGACTTGCAAATATCCTTCTATACAATTTAACGCTATGCCTAACTAACTATACAAACTCAATCCCTCTTACAACCTCGCAGCAGCACTTCCACCCGAACAACAACTCTTACCCCCAAAAGCCAACTGACTAACCTTATCACTCTGATCGAGCGCCCCCTTCTTCTCCGCAACCTGCGTAGGGCTAATCGAGTAACTAGGCGGCACATCCATACAAGGATTGTTCGTAAAGAAGTTCCTAGGTCGGAGCAACAACGTCATCGGCTCAACAGGCATGATGGGGAAGTCCTCGGGCGCAGGGATGTGTGTAACACCAAAGGTGTGCCAGAGTACAATGTCGGTGTTTTCAGTGGATGCTGTGCCCTCGGCGATCCACTCGGGGAGTCCTTGGGATGGCTCGCCAGATGTTTGGGGGACGTGACGACCTGCTGCCCAGAGCTCATCATCGCGATCTGGAGATTGTTAGTATTGTAGGATGTAAAGGGGTGAAGTGACTTACAAGGTGTGACGTGAACGGCGTGGCGGGCGAAACCAGCGCGCTTCCAAACAAGGGATCCCTCCTTTGGCAAAAGACCTGGAACCTCTCTGCTAACAAGCTTATAAGACGCAGGCTTCTTGGAATAAGGATGCAGCTTATTCTCATTAACCATCTCCCACGTCCTACTCGTCGCACCGTTATAATCCGTCTTGGCCTGTCCACTAGTCCTCAACTTGGTCTTTTTGGCATAAAACGCATTACCGTATTTATTCTGGGGACTTCCGACGGGTGCCTCGCTAGCAACAGTATCAACCATGTTGACAGTATTGTTCACACCGTCGATCATGGGGTTCACACGCAGACAGAACAGGTGCTGATGGTTGTGAGCGTTGACCTGGGGATAAACCTCTGTGCCCCACGGTCCAGCGTCTTCACCCTCGTTGAGGGAGTACGTGTTGAGAATACCGGTGAGTTTGATCTCAGGCTGGATCGTGCCGTCTTGGTGGAAGACCCATTGGCATGCGTACTCGTAGTTGGCCGCTGTGAAGATCTGCTGCACGATGAGTTTGCGCGCGCGAGTCACTGTGACGGAGTCATCGCGGAAGTCGGTATGCTTGAAGAGAATGCCGTTATCCTCTTCATGAATACAGATAGCGTTCTTGATGGTGCGGATAGAACCGTCGCGGGCGGCAAAGTCGGCGTCGAGGTAGTGGATCACACCCTTGCAGTCGCAACCGAGAGCGAGAGAGTTGGCCATGTATCCTGCGCCGTATTCACCAAGATCAAAGGCGTGCTTTCGCTGATGAGGATGCTCGGGCGCACCGTACGGGACGACCATCTCGGAAAGGGAGAGACGGTAGAAGATAGGTCGCTCGATACCCTTGTCCGTAAAAGTAATGTGGTTCAGCACAATTCCCTCCTTGTAGTTGAAACCAATATGAAACTTGAAGTTCTGCCATGACAAAACACGGCCATTCATGGTGAACGAGACACCCTCGGGCTGGGTAATGTTGATAGGCTTGATATCCTTGCGATAGCCACCGTTCTCGTTGATGTAGCGAGGAGTGTAATCAATAGCCTTTTGCTTGCTCAACGGGCGGCGCACGCTGGGGATGTCAATATGGATGATTTCCTTCTTGGCGCCGTCGTAGATGGGGCAAAAGTCAAGAGGGTACTGATACTGGAAGGTATCGGGGTCAGGACGGTAGTACATGAGCGCCTGCTGCAGACGAATATTGCTGCCAAAGCGCTCGTCGTAGCCGATCGTCCAGGGATCGCAGTAGACCTTGTGCATCTCTGATCTGGGGATACCAGAGATTTCGCACTGTTCAATGACTTTGGGGTCTTTGCGCGCGATCTCCTCGACCTGGCAGAGTTCCTCAGGTGTGATCTATTTCATCAGCCATTACTCAGTGTATGTAGTTAAGAGGTGAAGGACTTACAATAGGTTGAAGACCATCGAGCTTCTCCCACTTCTGGACCTTTCTCGTCTTGAGATCCACAAGGCCGTCGTAAACAGCTCCATCAGGAAGAATGACAGTGACATCCGCGATTCTCGCAGGTTTGTTTCCCTCGGAAGGATGCTCCAGCCATCTCAACATCTCCTTCTTGCGGGGCTCATGTAGAGTGACCGCATTGAAGAGGAGTTGGCCGGACTGATACTTGCGGATAGTCTCGACGGCAGCGGCGATCTCATCTCTGGAGAGAGGATCAAAAGGATGATGTTGTGTGAGACCCATGGTTACTGACTGACTGTATTAGGGTTTGATAGTTAGGTGAAGATGGTAAAGGGGAGGAGGAAGAGGGAGGGATATATAGTTTTCGGGGACATGATGATAAGCCCATCTCGAGTTGGAAATACAGGACTCTTTTTTCCGTATCGGGCTTGATGTGTGACAGCTCCTCTAGTCTTCGTGGTGGGGAGGCGATATCGCGGGGTAATCGTGAGCCTCACGGAAAGATAAACTGGATTGGGGTTAGTTATCAGTTGATAAGATAAGTCAACCTCCCCGCTTGAATTAATTACAAAACAGGTAATTATAACCTGTTTCCCTCGAGCACTGTACGTAACAAGATCATGATGGAGAGGAATATCTCTGTTTTGGTACTTATTACACCTCGTGACACTTACTAAAGAAGCTGTTTTATCCAGAATTAACCTCTTCCATCTTGAGTGCCAATCTGGAATTGCGGTTCCGAGTTCCGGAGTGGATAAAAGTCGATTGAGCCCAGACTTTGTCTTGTTTTGTTTTCTTTAGGTAAGAATATGAGCTTTCCCCAGATTCTGCGATTAGATTGTCTGTTTGATCTTCGGTGTTGGTGCAGCTGGGCCGAGTGTCGCTGCGAGCGGTTGAGTTGCGACAACTTGTTCCCAATTGCAAAGATAAGACCATTTCTTGTCATCGCCGACATGATGTGTGTTCTGTCAATTGCAGCATGCTTAATCTTGGTCTTGCTCGCCAACGGATGACACTTCGTCGCCCATGATGCTTGTCGCAGCGCAATCATTAGCACTCCAAGCGCTATCTCAGCTCCCCAACATCAATCAGCAGCAGAGATCCCAGCAAATGTGTCGCGAGAGCCTCATGAAAGCCCTGAACCGAAAACACCATCCACACGATGGGTCAATGCCAGAGAAAACATCGCGTACCTGCGGTATTCAATGTTGGCCACAGTTGTGTGTGTTTGCTTTTGTTCCACCTCCTGAGTCCTGCATGCTCATAGTAGGACTCGGGCCAAAAAAGAAACGCGCAATTGCGCGCTGCGCCAAACAATTGAGTGAGGTCACATATTTTAGCCTGCACCTCCCACAAGACCATCAATTTGTATTCTCTCTTTCTTTCTAAACATCATGAATATTCCTTATATGCAATAGCCATCAATATTACATCGATCCATCATCTCGTTTTGTTCCCGCGACTTAATCCTTTGAGGCCTTCGCCAAAGTCGCCTCCACAATGGAGCATCGTTCGCTGCACCATCACTCTCCCTCGATACGCCGTTATCTCAACGAAACAGACTTCAACCTCTACGCCCGAATTCTTGCTGCCAAAGAAACAGAGCGAGAGAAGTTTTACGTTGATTCCCACAAAGAACAGCTCCGCAACGTTCGGCACAACGTCTCCCGCCGTGAGCTAAGCGAAGCCAACCAGTATCCCTTCCTCTGCGTCTTCCACTTCGCCGGCTGCGACCACAAGTTCACGAACAAAAGAGACTGGAAAGATCATGTCGTTTGCCAACACCTGAGACTAGATCGGGTGTTTTGGGAGTGTGCTGAAGGCCCTTGCGAGGATCTCGTGGATGCCCTGAAGCAATGCGCGTCGCTGAATGCTACCGACCAAGTTGAGTTATCCAGCCCTGGGGGACATTTTGCGAATAGCCACGATTTCCGAACCCATCTTCTCCGACACCATCGGCCGACCAAGACCCACGACACTGACAAAGATATTAAGTGGGTGCTCGATAAAGAGGTGCAGTGGCTTGTGGACCGCCAAGATTCGTCGATGCGTATGAAGTGTGGATTGCCTCAAAGACTAGGCTGCCCCATGCCCCAATGCGCATCAGTACGGTTCACCGGCCCTACAGCTTGGGATCAACGATTGAACCATGCTGCTGAGCATTTTCTTACCAATCCACAATGTCCAGACGCATTTGGCGGAGAGAGGGATAATGAGCTTTTGTATTGGGCAACCTGCAATGCGGTCAGCATTCTTGAAGAGACGCCAAATGCTTGCCTTCAACAACATGATTGCAATAAGTCGGTCGCCGACAGTGGCTATAGCAGCATGCCTGGTATGCCCCGGCATCCGACCATGTCACAGCAGGGCGATTCGGCACCAGCGGTACCTCGTAAGATACCAGAGTGGAAGAGCAATGCCACATTCTACGACCCTGGCACGGAGGAACTATACTACTGTAGAGCCTCTGTTGGTCTTGGAGCCTGGGCTCAAGATAATGGATATCCGGCGACTCTGTTTGAAGAAGAGACAATTCCCTCTTCCGCATATCAATCTTTTAAAGAAATGTTCTCACATAGCGAGTCCATAGGGGACTATCATACCCTCGATACCTCTCAAGACTCGGGATCTGGTGACGAGTCTGATGAAACGCCCCATCACAACCCAGAGGCTGCTGTTGTTATGCAGTGGTTCCACGGATGGCTTCAACAATGGCTAGCACCGTTGACACAAGAGAGGCCAAACGGGATTGGGGGTCGTCCAAGCACTGCTTCTCAAAGTCAGAACTCAACTTCTACCTCCGGCTCCGGTACACAGAAGAAGAAGGGGACTTCGCGACCTCGCCGTCTTCCCAAGCGTAAGCGCGCTAGCGACGATGACGACGAGGGCAATGAGGAGAGCTCCAAATCCCAACGGATCGATGGAGATACGGAAGTACGAATGTTTGCCTGTCCATACTTCAAGCGCAATCCCCGCAAATACGGGCAACCCAAGTGGAAGAGTTGTGCACATCCTGGCTATCGGGACATCCATCGTGTAAAGTAAGTATGTTCCCAGGCACCTCTTGGCAATTTGAACTCTGACACTTGGCAACAGAGAACACATGTATCGTAGGCACTCCTTGCCCGAGTACCAGTGTCGGCGCTGCCGCGTTGATCTCAAGACCTCCGACGCCCTAGAAGCGCACCTGCAGCAGCAGCGGGCTTGCACTCCCAGCATCGGCGCCCAAGATGGACTAAGCCAAGACCAGGTGAAGAGGATGAGGAGCAAAAAGGGTACAGGGAAGAACAAAGATGAGGTAGAGAGGTGGAACGACGTTTACGCCATCGCATTTCCGCACGACCAGGACACGCCCAGCCCTTGTATGTCAGCATTCCCTTCCCATCGCTGCGGTATCAATTAACTGACGATTTAGATCTTTACGATACTGATGACGATAGGAATGCTAGAGAGCTCGATTTCCGTCATGAGTATAGCCGTTTTTTAACGAGAGAGCTCCCGCTCCTCGTGGAAGGATATCTGAACACCGTTGGATGTCCGTTGCCAGAGACCATCCAAGATGATATTGAGCAATTAGTCAAGCGACTAGTACCTCAGTCTCAAAGTTCATTTTTAGAAGAGATGGGGTTGACGAGGGATAACAACGAGCAGCCAGACAATGCATCAGCGACAAATGATGGAGCGGGCTTCGTTGAGTCTACGACAACGAGACTTACCTCTGAAGACTCGGCGACGATGGTACAACAAAACAGCACCTATGGATATCCGACAAAGTTGCAGAAGGGAAGCACATCACAGGAGGCTATATCCATGTTTCCGACAAGCGACGATCCTAAAGGATTGACGACGATGCCTCAAGTTGGATACGACACTGCAGACTCGACGATGTTTCAGGATGGAAATTTCTCTGGACAGGGCATGATGTTGCCAGCATACTGTCCGCCAACAAATCAGGATTGGCAAACAGTTTATTCACTGCTTGGCTATAACCCGTTTGGAGTTTAATGGGATGAATAACTCTTAGGATAAAAGTTTAAACCTATTTTTTTACATAATTTCGGCTTTCATCAACCTGCATTTCCATTGCTGTAGGCTCATAACCAGTGAGGTTTCCTTCCTAGTTCCAGCTTACTGTGTGACCACCACGGCCCACTACCTGACCTAGCTAGGGCGCGGGGAGGAAAGAAATCTCGGGACCTTGATCCTAGGTAACAAAAAGACTTAGGTAACTTAGTATAAGCTTAAGATAAGTTTAACATAAATTTAGGATACATTTTACTGAGTTTATTTCAACACACTACACTAAAGTCCGGTGTTTTCTTGCTCCCCGAGACCTAGTGCGCCAGATGGATGTCAAACGTAACCACTGTGCCACCTACAAAATGTAGGGGACCCTACACTAAAGGCCTAAGGCAGCAGACCTGAGCAACAGCAGAAAATCTACGCTCAAGCATAACATCAAACAAGAGGACTATATCTAAAGTAGAGTAAAAAATAGATCAATTGCCTAGAACCACGACTTTATCGTGCGTGCTCACAGTGGCTTTCTCCCCCTACTTAGTATTGCAACTCAAAGAAGGAGACCTCAACCCCTTGACTCTGCCGATATTTATCTTTTAAATCATGTTCTGCCTGTTCACCTAATAACTCCCAAACACCAACCCACAGCTCTGCCAAACACGGTGTCTGCACAGGAGACAAATTAACAAATTCTTCCAACACAGAGCCCAGACCCTCATCCCAAGAAACATTGATATCATATAGTCCCTCTCGAAGCACAAGCGATTTCAAGGTCACCGGGAGGACGTCACCCAGTGTTAGATTATCATCTATCACCGCGCTGCTCGTCGCATCAATGCTTTCAAGCGCAGAGAATTCTTTGAGAGAGCCCAGAGGCGTCGAAGATGGTGCATCGACTTCGATATAGTCGTCGCATGCTTCCCAGTGAATAGTCAGATGACGGAGAACCTCGCGACATGGCATTAATCCTTGACTGATGGATTGGCCATCAAATATGTACGCCTCCGATGACCGATACAACTCTAGTCGAAAAAACTCTAAATTCTTCATCTGGGATAGCAATTGCTTCAAAAAGCCTTCTGCGACAGTAGTGTATCCCAGAGTGAGTCTCGTGAGGGATTCTGAGCACGAGACTGTAGGCATCGCGGCGTCGAGAGATGGCTCTGAATAACTGAGCTTTAGCGAAACTTCCCTGAGGTGAGGCGCCCGAAAGATTGGCAGCTTGTCCAATACCTCTCCGCTTTTGATCAAGCCGAGAAAGCAGTCAACGTCTCCAGAAGGCCAGCTAAATGATTTCAGACGTTCGAATCTGGTCGCCCGCGTTATCGAATGAGGCTCACAAACCAGGCGTAGCACATCCCCTATGGGGCTGAAATTCTGTGTCGGCGAGGCATATTCGTCATCACAGTGAAACATGTCAATAACCAGTGTTTCGACATTCCGCAGCAGTAGAATAATAAGAGCGACGATTGTCTCTACTTCCAGGTCATAAAGCCTATTGATCCAATCTTCCGAAGGCGACAATCCTGCTTCCTGTATCAGGCTCCTTACGACAACATCCGCGTCTCGAAGAGAATTCGAGGCTGCATGGCGCGCGGGCGGTTTGGGGCCATATTCGATCTCGTGGACGCTGAATTCACGGATATATGACGCCAATTCGGGTCGGTGGAGCAGGTTGAGCAATAACTGCTGAATGGGCGTAGATGAGTCCAGTTCGCTGTGGTTCCAGGCCCATGATATCCTTCGGTAGAGATACTTCTCTGTGATGGCATTGAATGCTCGTGAGACAGATGACAGGTGGAGCAGGTCAGTCGGCGCAAGACATTGAGCAATAGTGTCCCATAATTCGGGCACGGCTACAAGGCTGAGAATCATGGAACCTCAAATAGACAGCTAGCGGTGTATGAAAAGGAATTTGGAGTACAAATGATAAAGGGCTCAAATATTATTTGAACGTGGCAGCTGAGGGGGGTTGGGTTTTGGGCTGGGAATCATTGTATCTCTGGTGTTGTACAAAATACAAGCCCTGCTGCCTTAGGCCTCTAGTGTAGGGTCCCCCTACCTTTTGCAGGTGGCACAGTGGTTACGTTTGGCATTCATCTGAACCGCCCATCGGTTAGTGCTGATGCCAACTATAAACCATTGAGGTTCAGTGGCCGACAGCGCTAAATGTTAGTGAGCAGACGTCACAAACTCGCCCCAATCCTCACCACCAAGAAATGATCACGATCAATGCAAGATGCACTCAAATAACCTCTTTGTTGCTCAAACTTTTATTAATAATAGATAGATCATTCGCTCAAATTTGTTTGTATATATGACATGACATATCGGCCGCCAACTCCAGACATCTATGATTTGCTTTGCTTCAGTGACTTTCCTTTCCTTTCCGTTTCCGTTCCTATAAAATAAATGATTGCTCTGATCGAACTCGTACACTATAAAACAGATGCAGCACTCGTTCAATCTCTAAATAATGCAACATGACATGACCCAAAATTAACAAGAGTATCCAATATAACATGCTCGCACTCACGCCTGTCGCGCCTCAAGGTTCTCGTTACTAGCACCCTGTCCAGGCTGTAATCCTGCTACACTCGCAGCTACAATACCCGGCATACCGACGACCGACATCATGGGTGAGATGGGCGGTCTGTTGGAGGATCGCGATGAGCCGCGACGACTGCGCAGCTTGCTTCGAGGTCGAGACTCGGATCTCTTACGTCGAAGCATCTTCTCGCGCGAACGAGCCATGGCATCGCTCAACGCCGTCATGCGTCCGCCGCGAACACGCTTCAAGAACTCGAGATCATCGCGAATGCCGAGAAGTGCGGTATCCATATCATACCCCTCCAGCTTCTCCTTGGGAAACGGCTCAGTGCCCTCTTCCTCAGAGGTGTCCTTCTTCTTGCGCGAGAAACGGATCCAGCTTGGCCACAGCTTAGCGAGAACCTTGACAAACGCGTGGAACCACTCGTCGGGGAATAAACGAATGAGCACACCGATGGGGATTGAGAAGAAGCCAAGCACGAGAGAGATTCCCCACTGGACACCGTTTAGGCGTGTAACGACGAAAGCGTCGCTGCCGAAGAAGATGATGATGATTTGGCCGGCAGCCATGATGGTCATCATGAGCATGAACAAATGGTTGCGGTGTAGACCCTCAAAGATGTTGAGCTTGTTATCGATGCGTCGACTGTTGACGAGCTTAAAGATCTGCATGAACACAAAGATGTTGAAGATGAGAGATCGGACTTCGCGTTCTTCATAGCCGAGGATGGAATCGCGGCCGAACCAGAGGACGAAACACACGATGAGTTGGTATATCGACTGGCCGATGATCATCTTCCACATAGTAATTGTAATAAGCGGTGCAGTTCGAGCTTCGGGTTCGCGGTGCAGAAGACTTCCGGTGGGAGGATCGGTAGCGAGAGCGAGAGCGGCGAAAGTATCCATGATGAGGTTAACCCAGAGGAGTTGAACGGCGTTGAGAACGGATTTCTGCTCGTCGTCGGACACAGCTGAGATGAAGGTTACGCCGACGGCTGTGATGTTAACGGTAAGTTGGAACTGCAAGAACTTCTTAACCGAGTCATTAATAGCACGACCCCAGCCCAAAGCCACAACGATAGACGAGAAGTTATCGTCCATGAGGATGATATCCGATGCCTCCTTGGCGACTTCCGTACCAGTGATACCCATTGAGAAACCAACATCCGCTGCCTTGAGCGCAGGAGCATCGTTTGTTCCATCGCCTGTAACAGCGACAATCTCACCGAGCGATCGCAGCGTCTTGACGAGGATGCGTTTGTCCTCTGGACTTGATCGCGCGAGCACACGCAGCTGCTTCACGACTGCTGTGCGGTCTGATTCAGAGAGCTTGCGGAAGTCAGAGCCCTGCATTACCGCGTTGGGCTCGTTGATTGTGCTCTCGGTGAGGATGCCGCAGTTGAGAGCGATGGCGCGCGCGGTCTCGACGTTGTCGCCTGTTACCATCTTGACGTTCACAGAGGCAATACCGCAGTCGTTTACAGCTTCAGGAACACCCTTGCGCACAGGATCCTGGATGCCTACTACGCCCATCCATGTGAGGTTATGCACCAGATCAGTCAGATCTATATCAGCGTTATCGTCTTCAGGGCGGAGGGTAAGCACAGGAGGCCAGTTCTCAAAGTCGCGGTACGCCAGACCCAAAGTTCGAAGAGAGTTTGTCGCGTAATTGAAGATGATAGAGCGCAGTTCCTCTTTTCCATCGTCGGAGAGGGCTTCGGTGGAAGGTGAAGTAGTTGGATCGCCGAGAATAGTGGTGCATTCGCCGAGAACAATTTCGGAAGCGCCCTTTATGTAGAGTCTGTACTTGGGCTTGTCCTTTGTCGGACCGGGAATTTGGACGACGGCGCCCATGCATTTGCGCTGGGAGTTGAAGGGGAAGAGACGGGTGATGGGATGGTTGGCGCGTTCGATTGCGAGGGGGCCGAGACCGAGATATCGACGGGCCCAGTCGAGAAGAGCAGTCTCAGTCTTTGTACCTACAAAGCCCTGCTTTCCTTCTTCATCAGATTCGAATGCTGTGGTGTTGACGCAAATGGCAGTCTTGAGAAGTTCCTTATACTCAGGATCAAGCTTATTCGCGAATTGAGCCAGCGCAATAGTCTCTCCCTTCTCAGCACCCTGCTCAAACGACGAATCGCCAAAGGAAAAGAGTCCCCGAATGCCCAGTGAGCCTGCAACGACGGTCATGATGTTCTCGGTGAGGGTACCAGTCTTGTCGGAGCAGATGACCGTGGCGTTACCCATAGTCTCGCACGATTGAAGATGTCGCACCAGGTTATTCTCACGCGTCATCTTCTTCGTCGCGAAAGCGAGGGAGAGAGTTACTGCGAGGGGGAGACCTTCTGGGACGGCGACGACGATAACGGTTATGGAGGTGATGAGGATCTGTAAGAAGTCTTGGCCCTTTTGCTCGCCTGATTCGCGGTTGTTGGGCAGCTTGGCGAGGAATTCGATGAGTAGGACGAAGAAGAGGAGGAGACCAGCTGCGCTACCGAGCTTTGCAATGTATCCTGGTCTGTTAGTACACATCTCACAATTGAACTGGGATGAGTGACTTACCTGCGAGGAGATTGAGCTTTGCTTGAAGAGGCGTCAATCCCGGATCATCACGAAGCGACATCATCGTCTTTCCATGACTACTCTGCTCCCCCACCGCCGTAACAAGAAACGTGCCCACACCATCGAGTACCTTTGCACCAGAGATGATAAACGGATCAAGCTTCTTCAACTGCGGCGCCTGCTCATGCAGCAGCGCATGAAGAACCTGCTCAGCGGGCACCTTCTTAATAAGATCAGACTCACCCGTCGCCGAACTCTCATCACAGCTAAGATTATGCCCCTCGATAAAAACACCATCAACGGGGATGACATCGCCTGGTTCGAGGAGCATTACATCGCCGACGAGGACATCGTGAATAGAGATGTTTTGCGGTTTTCCGGAGCGTGTGATCTTGACGATGCGGTCTTCCTTCTTCTGGTTGAGTTTCTGGAACTGTCGCTCTTTTTGCCAGTCGTTTGCTGCGCCGACTACGACGACTATTGTTATGGCGACGATGATGGCGACGCCTTCGACCCATTCGACTTTTGCGCCGCCGTCTTCATGGGATCCTCCAAAGGTTTGGTAAAGACCTAGTGCGAGTGATACCACGGCTGCGATGCAGAGAAGGATGAGCACGCGATCTTGCAGCGCGATCCATGCAAGTTCCAGAAAAGACTTTGACTTTGGTTCCGGGAGACGATTCGCGCCATAAACTCGCTTCCGATCAGGAAACGCATCTTTCCCCGAAGCATGCGCCGCACCACTATGACTCGCCTTCTCAACCTTTGAAGAAGTCGCTTCCTCAAAAGACACCGCACCCTCCAGCTTTCCCTCATCAACACTCAAACCAGCCTTAGCATCAGTCCTCAAACCCTTCTGCAGACCAGGCAGACCACCGAGCGCAACAAACGCGGGCAAGTTCTTTGGGTTAATGAGTTTAGCCAATTGACCTGGCGAGAAAGCGAAGGGGTTGTTTTCGACGCGGAAGAGGTCTTCCTCGCCGGGGTCGGGCTTGAGGATTTCGGCCTGGTCGCCTTTCCTTAGGGCTTCTACCTCGCGAGACATTTGTTCATGATCGGTGCCGACTTTTGTGGAGGGGGAGGAGGACCATGATTCGGTTCTGGATTTGGCGGTAGGTACTGCGAGAGTGTTTGTGTCGTCTAGGGGAGAAGGGGAGATTGAATCTGCTGGTGCTAAACATTTATTAGTTTACTTAATCGTATGATGTGAGGAAGTCATCGCTTACCAGGATCGTTTGAGGAGTCGACAGCCGCAGTATCGACGGTGATTGTGGGAGCGCGCGGACGTCGTGGAGTGCTAGAGTCCATGTTGAACGACCAAGATGGAATGTGTGCTTCATGTGAGGAAGGGGAAGGGGAAAAAAGGTGGAAAGAGGAGAAGCCAAGATATTGAGAAGTTCAAAGCGCTGGGGGTGACAAGAGAGGTAGAGCAGGGGTGATGAAAATACACTTCCGACACAGCCACAGCCACGAGGCATGCCAAGATCCTGGGCGGCCTGTGTGATTGGTGAAGTCGAGAGCTAAGATGTTAATGCTTGGAGTTGAGAATCTTGGCATTGCAGGGGTTATTTGTTTAATCTGGACTGTTCCGTGGTCTACAGAGTACGATTCAAGTACCTTTCCAACAAGTAAATGTCTATATAAATTAATGTATTACTGGATATCTCCATCTTGACAGCTATATCCTCATTTCCTCACCACATCTAGCTGTAGAGACACTCCTCCTTCGTGATCATCCGTCGTATTCCAACCGCCAGCCAAGA